CGTGAAGTGTCGAACGCCCGCTGGCAGGAGGTCACGGGGCAGACCCAGGTGCCACGGGTCGACTGACTGAGATGACTGGCTGATGCACCACCTGTGCCCCCTACTGTGCCAACCTGCTGTGCTTTAGCCACCCGGCGCTCCGCTCGTTGTTCTGAGCGTCGCTCCTCCGCCCTCCGTTGTTGTTGGAGGGCGACTGCCTCCAACTGCCCAGTAGCATCCTTCACGAGCCTCCTCCACAGAGGCCGATCTTGACACCGCTGGTACCAGTCATCGGCAAGTCCACTCAGCTCCACGTCCTCCTGTACCACATCACTCCATCTCTTCTCTAGCCCGTGCCGCGCCCGTTTAGCCCCCTCGATCCGGCCGAACAAAAGCTGTTTCGGCATGCGGTGGCTGGGCATGCGGGCTACATGACCCAGCCAACGCAGCCTTGCCTGCCGGAGGAGCTCACCGATGGGACCTTGCCCAGATCTTTTAAGGATTTGAGAGCTCTTCACACAATCCAGCCTGGTCAAACCCAGGATGGATCGTAGGCAGGCCAGCCTAAATGTTTCCAACCGGCGAAGATGCTCCATTAAGGGGGTCCACGTTTCGCAAGCGTAGAGAAGGGAGGGAATGATCGTGGCCGAGAAGACCAGAAGCTTAGTGCGGAGCGACAGACCAGGTAGCTTTTATACAGCGTTACGCAACCGATGAAAAGATATTGCCGCTCGATTGATTCGGAGTGAGACCTCTGCTGTTAAACTGGAGCCGGTCATAAGCACACTGCCCAGGTATGGGAAACTCTCCACTCTCTCCACAACTGCCCCATCACCGATTGGGAGTTGTAGGGGTGGAGTGTCCGATGGTACAAAATACCCAGGCAGGTGCTTAGTTTTGGTGGGGCTGATGGTAAGGCCCCATCTCTTAGTGGCACGCTCCAGTCCCAGCAGCGGCGTCTCCAACTCCTCCTCTGAATGAGCAGCTATTACCAAATCATCGGCATACATAACGTGGTTGAGCAATAGGGAGCCATCCCTTGACCGCACCCGGGCATCGATCAACCTCCCATTATATCTGTACCATATGGAGATTCCCCCGGTACAACTATTGAAGGCTTCACGAACTACGTGGTCAAAATAGATGTTAAATAATGTGGGAGCCAGAGGACATCCCTGTCGCACTCCAAGGTGTACAGGGAATAGCTCTGACTCCCGGCCACGTAGTTTTACCCGGGCCCGCTCACCATCATGAAGGTCCTTAATGATCGTGAGCAGAGGGTCAGGGACTCCAAAAGCATGAAGAACAACCCAGAGGCTAGGCCTACTGATGGTATCATAGGCATTGACGAGGTCAATAAAGCAGAGATGTAGGTCTTGCTGGAATTCCCTACACCTCTGCTGTAGCAGACGGATAGAAAATATGGCATCTGTGCAGGACCGCCCTTTCCTGAAACCGCATGGGCTCTGGACGGGTGCGAGGGGCGGGTAGCCCCTCCACCTTCAAAAATTTACCACTAAACCACGACTAAAAAAACCGCTGGTGACACACACACAGACACACACAGGGGCGTGTCCACGCTGGTGACACACACACAGACACACACAGGGGCGTGTCCACGCTGGTGACACACACACAGACACACACATGGGGCGTGTCCACGCTGTGACACACACAGACACACACAGGGGCGTGTCCACGTTGTGACACACAGACACACACAGACACACACAGGGGCGTGTCCACCCTGGTGACACACACACAGACACACACAGGGGCGTGTCCACGCTGTGACACACACAGACACACACAGACACACACATGGGGCGTGTCCACGCTGATGACACACACACAGACACACACAGGGGCGTGTCCACCCTGGTGACACACACACAGACACACACAGGGGCGTGTCCACGCTGTGACACACACAGACACACACAGACACACACATGGGGCGTGTCCACGCTGATGACACACACACAGACACACACAGGGGCGTGTCCACGCTGGTGACACACACAGACACACACAGACACACACAGGGGCGTGTCCACGCTGGTGACACACACACAGACACACACATGGGGCGTGTCCACGCTGGTGACACACACAGACACACACAGACACACACAGGGGCGTGTCCACGCTGGTGACACACACACAGACACACACAGACACGCTGGTGTGTGTCTCTGTGTGTGTGTGTCACTGCTGTGTCTGTCTCGGGGCGTCAATCGATCGCCACGCCGCAGTCCATCAACACGGCAGCACCACCCCCCCCCCCCACCCCCCGTGTCACAGCCGGATCTGTGCGGAGCCTCGCGCCGGAAAAAAAATTTCCCCGCCCCTCGGTCGGTCCGGGGGAAGAATTGGTGGAGGAAAATTAAAATTATTGGGTGAGAAATGAAGAGCGACGGAGTGATCGCGATGACGATGCTGGTGGGGGTTGCGGTGAGCAGCCCACGGTGGTGTCAGCTCACGCGCGCCCACACATTCAGCACGCGCCTGGACCACGTTCGCGTTGGGGCGCGATGCAGAAGCGTTGACGATGATTTAACCGGGGCCCGGGAGACGGTGGAGACGGTGGCGCGAGCGGCCGGGCTTGGCATCGGTGGCGAGGGACACCGACATCTGTTGTGGGCTCCCAGCTCACCAACCCTCCCACACTCCACACTCCACACTGCCACCCACCCTCCCACACTCCCACACTCCACACTCCCACACTCCACACTCCCACACTCCCATCCACCCTCCCACCCACCCTCCCAGCTCACCAACCCTCCCACACTCCACACTCCCACACTCCACACTCCCACACTCCCACCCACCCTCCACACTCCCACACTCCACACTCCCACCCACCCTCCCACACTCCCACACTCCACACTCCCACACTCCCACCCACCATCCCACACTCCACACTCCCACCCACCCTCCACACTCCCACACTCCCACCAACCCTCCCACACTCCACACTCTCACCCACCCTCTCACACTCCCACACTCCCACCCACCCTCCACACTCCCACCCACACTCCACACTCTCACCAACCCTTCCACACTCCCACCCACCCTCTCACACTCCCACACTCCCACCCACCCTCCCACACTCCACCCACCCTCCACCCTCCCACACTCCACACTCCCACCCACCCTCTCACACTCCCACACTCCCACCCACCCTCCCACACTCCACCCACCCTCCACCCTCCCACACTTCACACTCCCACCCACCCTCTCACACTCCCACACTCCACACTCCCACCCACCCTCCCACACTCCACACTCCCACCCACCCTCCACACTCCCACCCTCCACACTCCCACACTCCCACCCACCATCCCACACTCCACACTCCCACACTCCACACTCCCACCCACCTTCCCACACTCCCACCCACCCTCCCACACTCCCACCCTCCACACTCCCACCCACCCTCCACACTCCCACCCTCCCACACTCCACACTCCCACCATCCCACACTCCACACTCCCACACTCCACACTCCCACACTCCATACTCCCACCCACCCTCCCACACTCCCACCCACCCTCCACACTCCCACCCTCCCACACTCCACACTCCCACACTCCACTCACCCTCCCACACTCCCACACTCCACACTCCCACCCTTCACACTCCCACCCACCCTCCCACACTCCACACTCCCACCCACCCTCCCGCCTTCCACCCTCCCAACCACCCTCCTCCCATCCACCCTACTCCCATCCACCCTCCCACCTTCCACCCACCCTCCCACTCGCTGTGTATCTCGCTATGTATCTCGCTGTGTATCTCGCTATGTATCTCACTATGTATCTCGCTACGTATCTCGCTACGTATCTCACTATGTATCTTGCTATATATTGCGTTGCATTGCACAGATAAATGACAGGCATTGCGATTCCAAAATAAATGAAGGCACATTGTAGGGAGTGGGCGGGAAATGCCGATACCCCCTCTAGCGATGTGAATCTTATTGCCGTTCTAAGCGTGCAGTGTGGGGACTTCCCGTCCACCTTGTAATAGATTCTGTTATTTATACGGTAAGGAATTGGACGCTGGTGCGAGTAGCTATTGTGTGTAGAGCCAATGGTGGTAGGCAATGCGCATCGTATGCTGCTATGTGCGGTGGTGTGTGCACGCTGTGGTGTATGTACACGGCATGCGTGTTCGCGGTGTGTGTTGTCGTGACGCATGTGTCTCCCATGGTAAGCGTTGTGCGTGGACATTACACGCATGACCACATTAACATGCATCGCAATGTTCGTTATGCACACATTTGTGTCCATCGCGTTGCATGTTATGCATTTTAAAACGACGTACGGTCATGACAACTAAATATTGTATGTCATTCATTACGTATTTTTTAACGTATAATTATTAGCACGGAGATAATGCGTGCCTTGTACAATGCACGTTGAATGTATTGATCGCGATTGCGATATGAGGCGAGGATTAGTTTCAATAGAATACGACGCCTTTCGGATTGTAAGATATTATCTGTAAATAACGTTGCGCAATGCACACGATGCAATGGCACCAGCAATCATCATTGGTAGCATCATCATCACTTTCACCATGATCGACATTATCAGCGGTATTTTTTGCATCATAATATCATTAATAATCAACGACATCAGCAGCAACTCGATTATGTACATCAGCAGTATCATCATCATTGGCATCGTAATCAATATATTCATCAGCACCATGATCACAGCATCAGCAGCAGCTTGATCATGTCCAGCAGCAGTATCATCATCATTGGCATCGTAATAAATATATTCATCAGCACCATGATCACATCATCAGCAGCAGCAGCTTGATCATGTCCAGCAGCAGTATCATCATCATTGGCATCGTGATAAATATATTCATCAGCACCATGATCACATCATCAGCAGCAGCAGCTTGATCATGTACATCAGCAGTATCATCATCATTGGCATCGTAATAAATATATTCATCAGCACCATGATCACATCATCAGCAGCAGCACGATGCGCGGTTGTCACCTGGCCGTGCATCTTGAGGCGGGGGGAGCGCCGTGGTCGCGGTCTCTCTCGGAGGCAGAATGACGGCGGCGCTCGGGCTGCGACTGAGAATAGAGGCAGGGGGAGGGGAGGGGGCCGAGGGGTAGCGGGGAGAGGGGAGGGGAGGCAGCGGGGAGGAGGAGGAGGGCTGCCCGTGTTTGGGTCTCCGCATGCTGCTGCATCCCTGCGTCATCACTTGCCGAGTCGGCACCAGAGCGGCATCGCAGACGGTGGCGACGCGCGGCCAAGGCGGCCAAGGCGTGGCGGCCCGTGGGGCCGAGACCGGTGACGGAATCGCAGCCAAAGAAGTTTACTGCACCAGAGGGAGGGAGAAGGGGGGGGAGAGGATCGCCGCTGGGATGGAGGGGATTCGTTATCGACTCGTGCGCAGTAATTAAAATGGGTTGTTCAAATCGCAGGATCCTGAGGGATGGCGACGTGGGAAGGCATTCAACCGACAGTGGATAGAACATGGATGATGATCCTGCTGCTGCAGGAGAATACAGCATCCATACAAGCAGGCTCGAGAAAATCAGACGGCTCAGAGCAGCAGCGCTCCCAGAGTGTAAAACTCTGCACTTCTGAGCCTAAAGCAGGGTCGCCTTCATTCTCCATCATCATCGCCATCGCCATCAACCGGAGGTGGCACCACCGGTCAGTGTAGGGAAGTCACGGCCCCCTGCTGCTCACGTTAAAAGGAAGACTCGCAGAGTTCACTCTCGGCTCGGGAGCAGCGCCAGAGATGGGCCAGCAAGCCAAGCGCAGGGAAGATCTCGCGCAGACAGACAGAGAGACAGAGAGAGCCAGAGAGAGGACCTCTTGCTGACAGGCAGCGCCACCTCAGCTCGGCGCCATCCAGCAGCACCGCGTCTCGAAAGCCAAGCAGAGATTTGTGCCCGGATAGCGCTTAGGTGGGCACCGGCCATGCGTGCCAAGTTGTCGCAACAACGCCGTGGTGGTGGTGTCGGTGGTGGTGGTGTCGGTGGTGGTGGTGGTGTCGGTGGTGGTGTCGGTGGTGGTGTCGGTGGTGTCGGTGGTGGTGGTGTCGGTGGTGTCGGTGGTGGTGGTGGTGTCGGTGGTGGTGGTGTCGGTGGTGGTGGTGGTGTCGGTGGTGGTGTCGATGGTGGTGGTGGTGTCGGTGGTGGTGTCGGTGGTGTCGGTGGTGGTGGTGGTGGTGGTGTCGGTGGTGTCGGTGGTGGTGGTGGTGTCGGTGGTGGTGGTGTCGGTGGTGGTGGTGGTGGTGTCGGTGGTGGTGGTGGTGTCGGTGGTGGTGGTGGTGTCGGTGGTGGTGGTGGTGGTGTCGGTGGTGGTGGTGGTGTCGGTGGTGGTGGTGGTGTCGGCGGTGTCGGTGGTGGTGGTGGTGTCGGTGGTGGTGTCGGTGGTGTCGGTGGTGTCGGTGGTGGTGGCGGTGTTGGTGGTGTCGGTGGTGTCGGTGGTGGTGTCGGTGGTGTCGGTGGTGGTGATGGTGTCGGTGGTGGTGGTGTCGGTGGTGGTGGTGGTGGGCAACATAGGACAGGAATCCATGGGTGCACTCTGCGCCCAAGTCTCTGTCCAACAATACGGGCAAAACATTCCTGCGGCGATGGCCCTCCCAGCCCCCCACCCTCCCAGCCCCCCACCCTCCCCCCACCATTACACCCCCCACCCTCCCAGCCCCCCCCACCCGCCCCCCACCCTCCCACCCCCTCCACCCGCCCAGCCCCTCCACCCTCACACCCCACCCGCCGCCTCCTCTCCTAGGGAGGAGCGGGGGGCTGGTCCGTGCCCCCACCCACCACGCGGCCGCTCCAGTGGGGTGTGAGGGTGGGGGTGTGAGGGTGGGGGGTGTGAGGGTGGGGGGTGTGAGGGTGGGGGTGTGAGGGTGGGGGTGTGAGGGTGGGGGTGTGAGGGGGTTGTGAGGGTGGGGGTGTGAGGGTGGGGGGGTTGTGAGGGTGGGGGTGTGAGGGTGGGGGGTGTGAGGGTGGGGGTGTGAGGGTGGGGGGGTCAGGGTGGGGGGTGTGAGGGTGGGGGTGTGAGGGTGGGGGGTGTGAGGGTGGGGGGTGTGAGGGTGTGGGGGGTGTGAGGGTGGGGGGTGTGAGGGGTGTGAGGGTGGGGGGGGGTGTGAGGGTGGGGGGGGTGTGAGGGTGGGGGGGGGGTGTGAGGGTGGGGGGGGTGTGAGGGTGGGGGGTGTAAAGGTGGGGGGGTGTGAGGGTGGGGGGTGTGTGGGGGGTGTGAGGGTGGGGGGTGTGGGGGGTGTGAGGGTGGGGGGTGTGGGGGGTGTGAGGGTGGGGGGTGTGGGGGGTGTGAGGGTGGGGGGTGAGGGTGGGGGGTGTGAGGGTGGGGGGTGTGAGGGTGGGGGAGTGTGAGGGTGGGGGGGTGTGAGCGGGTGTGAGGGTGGGGGGTGTGAGGGTGGGGGGTGTGAGGGTGGGGGGTGTGAGGGTGGGGGGGTGTGAGCGGGTGTGAGGGTGGGGGGTGTGAGGGTGGTGGGTGTAAAGGTGGGGGGGGGGTGTGAGGGTGGGGGGTGTGAGGGGGGTGTGAGGGTGGGGGTGTGGGCGGTGTGAGGGTGGGGGGGTGTGAGGGTGGGGGGTGTGAGGGGGGTGTGAGGGTGGGGGTGTGGGCGGTGTGAGGGTGGGGGGTGTTCCCATGCCCTAGAGAGGGGTAGTGCTGGACACGGACGTGGTGTTGGTGTGGTGGTGGTGTGGTGGTGGTGGTGTGGTGGTGGTGGTGGTGTGGTGGTGGTGTGGTGTTGGTGTGGTGGTGGTGTGGTGGTGGTGTGGTGTGGTGGTGGTGTGGTGGTGGTGGTGTGGTGGTGGTGTGGTGGTGTTGTGGTGGTGGTGTGATGGTGGTGGTGGATGTGGCGGTGACGTGACGCGCATTGCTCCATGACTCGTCACGGGCAGCTGCGCCTTGCCGCTCGCTGTCCCTCCCCTCCCCAGGGTGTCGCTCCGCCTGTCTTTGACAGCCCACTTGTCCCAGCACACACGCACTCCTCACACGCGTGTGTGTGTGTATGTGTGTGTATGTAGAACTTCCTTCGCACCGTACGTAGCCAACCGTGCTAATCGGAGGCGCGCGGGAAGGACAACACAACTAAACGTTAAATAAATTCGTGTTCAACTTCGACGTAAAAGTTCATAGCTCCAGTGGCTTCTGCACATCGTAAGAGCGTTCCAGATGGCAGCAGAAGCGCATCTGAAAGGGTGATATGCGGCGACCATCTTAGTTCGTGGCTGGATTCGCCAAAAGCCTCTGCTGCGAGGATGACCGGAGTCTGCCTGATGGTTGATGCCCCTTGACGAGGTCGGAAAAGTGACGTGGTTCATTTGTGGCAAGCACTCCGTGTGTAGTGAGCGTGACATTATAACAATTTATTTATTTATTCCGCAACCAGAAGCCAATGCAGCTCGGCGATTACCGGACGGTCACGGCCGGCGGATCGTGCGGTGTCCGCCACGACACGTGCCGGAAAGTGTTGTGCACGCTGCAGGTTTTTACCAGACGTGCCGTGGAGTCGTGAGTTGCCATAAGCGAGAGCATTGTCGAGCCTCTGCTGCACGCCACCGTGTTGGCTGTGTCACGACCCAGGAGCGGACGAATGTGTCCGAGAGCCCTGATGTGAAAATTGCTCGACCTGACTAAATTTGGCACCGTGGCAGTCAGAGCGATAGCTTTGTGGGGGGTTGGGGGGTTGGGGGGGTCAGGGTGTCTCTTCATTGAGGAGGAGCGAGGTGACGCGCTGGGGTGGCTTTGTGCGACAGTGGCTGTAGGTGTGTGTGTTACATCAGCTTGGGAGCACGAGAGATTGGACTCATGAGCACACCGTGTTAATTCATTCTAAAGCCAAGGTTGTGAATCAATAAAAGGCCCCGCCACGGGGAGCCACGGGAAGGGGCGAGGATTCAATTCCGCGTCCTGCTGTAGACGTGAGGCTGTTGTGCTAGAGACGTGAGGCTGTTGTGCTAGAGACGTGAGTCTGCTGTGCTAGAGACGTGAGACTGCTGTGCTGGAGACGTGAGACTGCTGTGCTAGAGACGTGAGACTGCTGTGCTGTAGACGTGAGACTGCTGTGCTAGAGACGTGAGTCTGCTGTGCCAGAGACGTGAGGCTGCTGTGCTAGAGACGTGAGGCTGCTGTGCTAGAGACGTGAGACTGCTGTGCTAGAGACGTGAGGCTGCTGTGCTAGAGACGTGAGGCTGCTGTGCTAGAGACGTGAGGCTGCTGTGCTAGAGGCTGCTGTGCTAGAGACGTGAGGCTGCTGTGCTAGAGACGTGAGGCTGCTGTGCTAGAGACGTGAGGCTGCTGTGCTAGAGACGTGAGGCTGTTGTGCTAGAGACGTAAGGCTGCTGTGCTAGAGGCTGCTGTGCTAGAGACGTGAGGCTGTTGTGCTAGAGACGTGAGGCTGCTGTGCTAGAGACGTGAGGCTGCTGTGCTAGAGGCTGCTGTGCTAGAGACGTGAGGCTGTTGTGCTAGAGACGTGAGTCTGTTGTGCTAGAGACGTGAGGCTGTTGTGCTAGAGACGTGAGGCTGCTGTGCTAGAGACGTGAGACTGCTGTGCTAGAGACGTGAGACTGCTGTGCTAGAGACGTGAGACTGCTGTGCTAGAGACGTGAGGCTGCTGGGCTAGAGGCTGCTGTGCTAGAGACGTGAGGCTGTTGTGCTAGAGACGTGAGTCTGCTGTGCTAGAGACGTGAGGCTGTTGTGCTAGAGACGTGAGGCTGCTGTGCTAGAGACGTGAGACTGCTGTGCTAGAGACGTGAGACTGCTGTGCTAGAGACGTGAGGCTGCTGGGCTAGAGACGTGAGACTGCTGTGCTAGAGACGTGAGACTGCTGTGCTAGAGACGTGAGGCTGCTGGGCTAGAGGCTGCTGTGCTAGAGACGTGAGGCTGCTGTGCTAGAGACGTGAGGCTGTTGTGCTAGAGACGTGAGGCTGTTGTGCTAGAGACGTGAGGCTGCTGTGCTAGAAACGTGAGACTGCTGTGCTAGAGACGTGAGGCTGCTGTCAAAGACGTGAGGCTGCCGGCCACGGGTAAACCCCTCCTCGTCCACGGCCCGGTACCCAGCCATGTTGGTGGGTCAGCACCGCAACCATCGCCTTGGAGGCTGGGGGCGATGGCCACTTGCTGGCCGGTGGG